AGAATTTATACTTTTTATCAATGAAAATTAAATTAGGTTCAAAATATATTGCATTTGTCAAATTAAATTTGAAAAATGAGATAATTTTATTCAAGGATTGTCATCGAACCCATACCAATCTCTAGTCAAAGTAAAACGTACCAATCGAGTAGAAAGAAGACGAAAGAAGAGGACACAATGGAGGAAGAGGGGGAAGAAGGAAGAAAAGAAAGCTGATGGAAGAGGAGAACGAAGAGGGAGAAAGAAAACGAGGGGCATGAGAAGGAGTGTACTAGGGAGATAGACAACGACGAATAATAGTAACGACAATAGTAATATCAATTCCACATAACCCACGAGAATAGGGATCATGTTTGTGAGCCGCCCTAATTGTTGTTTTATTTTTTTTATACTAAATTGGATTGGACTGTTTGAAACGAGGGCAGTCCATGTGTCAATATAAACCTGGACCGGTATGTATCACCTATTTTATACCGTAACAAAAGGTACAGTAGTCCTTGGTTTTATTCACCTAGGGTTGAAAAAATATAAAACTCAACAGTGTACAATGAGATGACTTGATCAGATCAAGACAATAACCCTACTTCCTTTGGACTATTTTTGTCTCATTATGGATATAAATGATGATATGTTGTGAAAGTTATGTAAGATCTAGTTACACAAGATATAGTTAGCATGCACCATCCATAACAAATGTGATACAGTTAGGTGAATGATAGGCACAAGCATATTTGGCATAACATATTAGATATGATTTAATGTTTGTTTGGTTGTTTAAGAGATGAGATGGCTATGGTACATTCAACAATAACAACGACAAAGCAGGTCCAAATTATTTGGAGTCAACTATATGAATCTTTTGATGGATCTTTTGCCGTCATTTAGAGGTTATGAAACCTCGAGTGTTAAATGATAATAAAAAATAAAAATATATATATTAGGAGAGAGAAACAAGAAAAATTGATAGATAATAAACATGTAATTGTTTGTACCTAAAGTATGTCTTGAGGGCCTATCTTGAGGACACATCATTTTGTTGGTCATGACTAGGTAGCTAACAATTAACTATCCTTATTTATAAATATGTTTAGTCCCACATCAGTAACCAAAGCTTATAAGAGCAAAAGTTACCTCCTCTGAGGGCTTTTGGAATCCACCCCCCAGTGGATAATCATGCAGGACCCAAAGCAAAAATTTTATTGCAGGCTCACATCAAGAGGAAAGGTTAATTGATCATTCTCAGAGTGATCAATGTTTGCAGAATTTGCTTTCTTGAAGAGCAAAAAGAAGATGAGGCTTGCTTTTATCATGACAAAATGGTTGTCCTCTCTCAGCCCCTTACAGTATCAATTTAGTTAGTTGGCAAAGATTTTGACAGTCTACCGTAAGGTCCTGGGTTCATTGTGGCTCACAAGATCCTACTCACCTGGACTCACCATTTACCCTTTGTATTAAAAAAAAAAAAATCTATATAGACACTCACTGAGGCCCAATTCTATCTGTCCATATTGATGAATACTAATGATGGTTGAATAGTAGGAAAAATAAGACCTTATATGAATCAAATACCTCTACACTTAGAGGCCCACCAGAGGGGACAATATCACGCCCTAAGATTCAAGACAAATGATAACTTATCACTTATTAACTAAACCTTTCAAGAATCGATGTTATTTGTTACTAACACTACATGAGAAATGTAACTCATAAAGGTAAAGGAAATACAAGATTTATCAAAGATGTTTTTTGGTCTAGGGTTACCTATTAACTGATCTACCAGCAATAGAAACTATTAACTGATCTAGGGCAACCTATAACCTAAGAAGAATATCAGCATACTTATCTGATTAAACCTCTTAGTAAAGACCCAAACTGATTGTATCAATAATTGTTTGTTGGCTATTATCCAAATATATTATACCTGATCTGCAAGTTGTACTTGCACCTTCTAGCAGTTGAAATATGACTTAAATGTATGGAATTATCATTGAGCTCATATTTGTGAAATTATTCAAATTCATAGGACACATACTATATCATGGAGATGGTATATTATAAAATTCATGCTATATCAAAAGTAATCTCCCTACTCAAAAAGTATATGAAGATTTACATGGAGATGGTATGAACATATATATGGAAAAAAAAAAACATTATGTGAAATGTTATAAGCAAAGTAAGTTGAGAGATAACAATAAAAGGATAAGTTTGTCAATAGAAAACAAGGCTAAGATTTTCTCTCTTTGCAATTGAATAAATGTGTCATAAACTGATATTCATCAGAAACCATCTTTACTTACTAGATGATGACCAGATTTTGATCAAGCAGAAATTATTTTGTTCAATAGCAGCTTATCATGCAAACCATACTATTTTTTAAGGCACATGGAGCTATCTATTCCATGATAAATTGTTGCTTGTAGTTTCCATATGTTGAATTGCAGATGCATCATTTTCTTCAATCCAGCCTGGAGAAGACAGTGGATCATTACCAGAAATTTATGAAAGCAGAAAAATATTTTGATAAGCACAATGAAAAGGAGCAGGTAATTTTATTATTATTTTATTGTTTTCATTGAAATGTTATAAGCAAAGTAAGTTGAGAGATAACAATAAAAGGATAAGTTTGTCAATAGAAAACAAGGCTAAGATTTTCTCTCTTTGCAATTGAATAAATGTGTCATAAACTGATATTCATCAGAAACCATCTTTACTTACTAGATGATGACCAGATTTTGATCAAGCAGAAATTATTTTGATCAATAGTAGCTTATCATGCAAACCATACTATTTTTTAAGGCACATGGAGCTATCTATTCCATGATAAATTGTTGCTTGTAGTTTCCATATGTTGAATTGCAGATGTATCATTTACTTCAATCCAGCCTGGAGAAGACAGTGGATCATTACCAGAAATTTATGAAAGCAGAAAAATATTTTGATAAGCACAATGAAAAGGAGCAGGTAATTTTATTATTATTTTATTGTTTTCATTGTCATTCTTAGTGCTAAGTCCTTTCATCCTTCGACTTAGCCTTCCGAAGTTCATGAACACAGTTAAAATTTTGTCTCTGTATTCATCCTCACAGGTCCCCATAATTTTATGTGATGGGAAACATAGATGAATTAATTGTTCCGTCAATTTATGATGCTTGTTTAAAGCAAATCTTAATTCTAGGAAGACTTTTAGTCAGCTATTTTGTTAGTTATATTGCTACCATTAAAGAAAGTCCAAGAAAGGTTTGGTTATACAAGGTATCATTGAGGATCTCAAGCTATCCTAACTGGTATATCATCTTTGATAATGGTACTCTTGAACTCAATACTATTTCCTAGATCATATTCTGACAACGAAGTATTGATCAGAACCACCAGTACTTCATAGATGTCTTTACACTTAAGTTACCAACTGACTCTATCCTTGCTTTCAACATAGCATTTGATTATGGATTCTTCTCATTCGATACTTAATTTCCCTCGTCATTTGAAATATATTAATTGCTCTAACTGAGAGTTGGAAGAAACTAAAGAAAGAGAATCACAACCTTGGTTAAATGTGAGATGTATTCCCGAAATGGATGCTCTCAAATGAATTAAAGAATAGCCCGATGTCTGTAGGCACTCCATCCTCTCTCTTTCAAGGCCTTCCAAAAGAGAATCTGGTACCTTTTGATTGTGAATTTTTTAATAGAATGAACTGGTTATCTAAACTCGAAGGATTCTTCTCAGCAACAATGTGATCTCTAGGTCATTCACCTCAAGGGCAAATGTCAGACATTCCTTTTGCATCTTTACATCTTTTAAAGATGAATTTGAATCTAAAACTGTATGCCTTTTTTTTTTCCAGGTAACATGATAATTTTTTTCCTAATATATTAGAAATTACATTTTCTTATTATCTACTAATGATGCCACAGAATCACGAAAAAGGATTTGCTTGTTCAGAAGGCAATTTCAAACTACTGGAGATTGCTGAAAGGTTATAACGTAACTATTGATGTGTCTATGTGATAAGAAATCTGGTGTATATTATCGCTAATACCTTTTTGTTCCTTGTAAAGGTTTATCGAAACAGATTTTGCCAAGCTGAATATCGATGGTCTCGAACAATTGGAGAATGATTTAAATGATGCATTCAAATGGACGACCTCAAGAAAGGTCAGAAAACTTACCTCACATAACATCAGCACATTTAGCTTGCACATGAAAAGCAGAAACATTAGTTGTATATTACCCCAAAAGAAATCAAACAATATTCCACCTCTAGTTTTTATTGTGCCACCTAAGGCTAGAAGTTGCTTCCTAGTGATGGTTAGCACAAGTTCAGACATCTAAGCACCAAACTTTTCATCTTCTTTTCTTTTGTGACCTTCAATAGCTTCAAGAATTGAGACCATTTTTTTTGTTTTCTCTGTGGTGTTTTGGGGCACATCCTTTTCAAATATTGGTACATATCCTAAATTTACTAAGATCTGCTTTGATAAATGAGGCAGCTCCTCCAATCTACTTGGCATATTCTCAAAAGAATAGGAACTTGGTTAGATAGACATGAGATGCATATGCTTCTAAATAAATCTGATGCGTATACTCTGCTGTTATAAAAGCGAAACAGAACTCCACTAAAGGTAAGTAGGTAACAAACTCTTAGGAGAACTCCAAACTGCATGTAATTGTTACCATGACATATATTTTCATCTGAAGACTCCCAGGAGAGCTGCTAGTCGTGTCTGTGAACGCTGACGATTTGGTGCATGCGCCTGCAGAGATCATTTTCACATTCAGCCCATTAGAACCAATCTTCTCAAACATGATCATACAAGCATTACAAGAAACCTGCAAGCGGAAAGAAGAGTCTCTCCTAGGACATTAATGTGGCATTTCCTCATCTAATTGTAAGTGCATTAGCATGAACCAGGAGGAATCACTACTTGAGAGAAGATTCTTGCAATCTGTAGGTAGAACACTCGAGTTGTCGATCATGTCACTGTGCCCTGTCATTCTTGTACAGGCAACAATGATGGTGCAGAGGAGGATCGGAGAGAACCGAGGCTGAGGGGGGCGACGACGACGACAGGAGCGCGGCGGCCGATGCAGCGGGATCATCACGAGGGAACCGGGGAGGCCACCGCCCTGTATGGAGGCCGCCACCTTAGCGGCCGTCGAAGCTGACATTGGGCACCGGCACGTAGTAGAAACCCGTTGGGCTGTCGCGTTCTTCTCCATTTGTGTAAGCGGTGTGCAGTGCGGCGGTTTATACCGACTTTTGTGCTTCTGGAAAGATTGGGAATCCTGCCACGTATGTCTGTCAGAGATGGTCTGGCACCTTCGGGAAGTTTTTACGAACCAAATGGGCACGTGACAGTCGCGTGAGAAGAGGTTGAGCTGTCATTTTAACGAACTTGCCATCGTCTTGCGAGCGAATGCAACGAAAACACTACGGTCCTTATTTTCCTGACTTATAAGGATACAAAGAATATATTAATAATAAACTAAATATTTATATAACCGATTGACGATTTAGATTTAACAAAATCAACAGATTAGTTATCACGTTAGATCTATTTTGATAAATGGTATTAGAGTGAATATAAATATTAAACATGATAAAAGCCCAACGGATTTGTTATTATTAGTTTTGAGTGATCGAAAATTTACTTACGAATCTCATAATTTTGAGGAATAAGCAAAAGACATTAACTAGCTTAAGGAAATCAAGGATTATGAATTTAAGTTCATATTTCTAGATGCAAAGATATTGGCAAATCTCATTAATGAAATTTCACATGATGGAGAATTCGGAGATCATTATAATAATATATAATTTTCCATCAAATATTATGTTCAAAATTTTTTTTTATTTTGTCGAAGAAAATACAAAAGGTATTAACATTAGAGGGGAACATTAAGATAATGTCAATTTAATGTAAAATAAAATACTTTAATTATAATTTTAAATAAAATACCGAAATGAATTGCAAAATGTTGTAACTTGAGGACTACTACCCTTATCCAGAGAGACATCATCTCCTCATGGAGGTGTGGCCAAATAGTTCACGCAAGCAGTATAAGAGGGATCATAAGCTGTTTAGTCTGTTCAGTTTAAAGAACCTTTAAAAGAACTCACCTATTATCTATATTGTGGATCTCATCATATGGACATGGTAACGTGCAAACATGAAACCTCGGGACGAAGATGGGGTGTCATGATAGATGTGCCACCACGGACTCGGGACGATAGCCGCCCCCCGCTCGTGTCGTCTGGAGTCGCATGAGCCGACGTTGTGCCAACAAAGACCGTATTGGAAAGCTCGGGACGGCACCACGCGTACCGATCGGCAATCTTCCGAAGGTACGAACTTGTTGCCCGAAGAGTTAGCCATCGTACATAGATCGCGTACAATCGACCCTTTGGCACCAAGATAAAAGCCCTCAACCAACATCTAGCAAGGGGGGCGAGCTTTCTACAAAAGTTCCACTCAATACTGACTTAATTTTCGGAGGGGCCTAAGTCAGGAAACCCCTCTCGACCTAGGCCAATGTGCAAGAACCTAACGACGATGAAGCATAGCGTGTCCACTGAAGAGGTGCATCCGGAACCGACCCCGAGCTCAACCTGACCAACGAAGGTTTGATCATCATGATGATCTTGGACATCGGCAATCAGACTGAGCCGTGCTGACTCTTTGGTCACGGCATAAAGGTTCACTAACATTTTGGTGCTAGAAGGAGGATCGATGTTGTAGGAACACCCTATGGCCAACATGGGGGCTCTAATAGCAGATAAGATTTCCCCAACTATATAAGGAAATCTCTCTACTCTGAGGAAAATCCTCTATTCTGTTGAGGGAAATCCTCCCTCCTAATCTGTATAAATACTGTATAAATAGGAGAGGGACATGTTAATGCAATAAAGCTTCTTCAATAATTCTTCTTGTCTTCTATTTTTTTCAACATGGCATCAGAGCAAGGGATATGGATATGATAAATGACAAACTTTGATGGTCGTAGAGCCTCGCTCATCTCACTTCCCCGTCGGACTCCCCTCTCTGTCCGCTGTATGGTCGTTTGTTGTACGGCGCATGATGCATTTGTTGCTACCCTGGTCGCTGCCTTCGGCGTCGCCATCAGGTGTGGCCATAACAATGAGGGCTTGTTTTGGTGCGACCGGCTACTCGCCCTCGGCAGTGGATCCCTCTCCAACCCTTGCCCGCTCCTTCCCTCTTCTTCTTCATGCGGCCTTCTTCTTCACCGGTGTCGCTTGCACCAACCACAAGCTCAGGTTGTCTGCCGCCGTAGCATTGTCTTCATCAGGCTATGATCTGTATCAATCGCAGCCCGTTGCCTCACTGTCAACTATCGATCCTCAGTTCCTGCTAAGAGCAAATCGCTATAGATTTCTCCACCAAATCGTTGCAGCTACCTCCTCTACTGCAGCTACCTTCTTTGCTGTAGCATTACTGCTCCTCTACTACAGCTTTCTCCTATGTTGCACCTCTGTTACAGCTTTCTCTTTTGCTGCACCTCTATTGTAGCTACATCCTCTGCTGCACCTCTACTGCAGCTTTCTCCTCTACTATAGCATTGCTGCAGCTTCCTCCTTTGTTATAGCATCACTGCAACATTGTTGCAGCTTCCTCCTCTACTGTAGCATCACTGTAATATCGTTGTAGCTTCCTCCTCTACTGTGGTTCTTTCTCTGCTACAGCATTGCTATAGCTTACTTCATTGTTGCAACTTTCTCCTCTACTACAGTTGTCGTCGTTGCAGCCGCCGCCATCACCGTCGCAGCAATAGTAACAACAACAACAACAACGATATGCTCTTGCCATACTCACGAAGCCTCTCGCTCGTAAACTGTTTGCTTTGCATCGATCCAAGATTGGTATCCTTGATAGGAGCACCATCTTGCGGGGGCATGATAGCAGATAAGATTTCCCCAATTATATGAGGAAATCTCTCTACTTTGTTAAGGGTAATCATCTATTCTGTTGAGGAAAATCCTCCCTCTTAATCAAGATAAATAGAAGAGGGATATGTTAATGCATTCAAGCTTCTACAATAATGCTTTTTCAATAAAGCTTCTTCAATAATTCTTCTTGTCTTCTATTCTTTCCAACAGGCTCGCCCTGCCGAAGAACCACAGGTGACCCACCTCACCTACAGACTCAGTGGTCAACCGCTCACCGCTCATCCCCTTCCTACCCCCCCCCCGGGAAATGCCTTGGGACCCTTAGTCATCTCGCCTTAGGCGTTCCTCAGCGTCGCCAAGCAGGTGCAAGCCTTGGTAGGAATGATGTAGATGGTCACCCCGCTCATCCTGCAGCTCGTGCAGTTAGTGGCTCCTCCACCATCGATCCCACCCACATTCCTCTCGGAGCCACCTAGCATTCCCCCGACCGATATAACACCAAAAATCCCAAATCATGATAAGATTGGGGAGCAAGTTGGGATCGGGGAGCATATTAGAGGCCCGAGAATGGTGCTCGAGCAAAGCGCACCCACATCCCACTAGGTCACACCACCATTTCCTGAGCACGACACCCTATCGTCGGACTCGATCGATGACTCATTCAGGGCCCAATTGTCTATGGTGAACCATCGCCTAGATGAGTTCCATCACGAATTCCATAAGTCATTGGGCGAGGCCAAGGAAAGCAACTCGGGAGGATCCCCTTTCACTCAAGAAATCCGGGATAAGCCCGTGCCACTCAACTTTCGACTTCCAACACTGGAGACGTATGATGGCAGTTCCGACCCAACGGAGCATGTTGTCGCATTCTGAGCTCAGATTGCACTTATGATGCCCTGATGTGTCGGGCATTCCCTACTACCTTCAAGGGACCAGCACAGGCATGGTTCAACTGATTATAGCCAGCCTCGTTTTCATCTTTCGACTAGCTTGCACGAGAGTTCGAACAGAACTTCTTAGCCAGCATGCAACCCAAGCTTTCCATGGCCATGCTCCTCACGTTG